ATATAATAAATAATCGTAACAGGTGTTCACAACCGTCGTGTTTTAACACAACTTTTGTTAGGAAAATATAACTTCACAACACCTTGTGAATTGCCCAAAACTCACTTTGAAAGACAGTTACATTAAAATATACCAAATAATAAACCAAAAATGGCAAACAGAGTACACAAATCAAACACAAACTAAAGGAATAAATTATGGCCTTGTTTTCCCCCTGATAAACAAGAAACCATGGTTTTCCCACAAAGCTTTTAAATCCAAAAAATCTACAAATATCAAAAAGATCAACAGAATAATAGGCAGACACGGTGTCTGCAAAGTAACGCTAAACAAAATGAACATCCAGGATGAAATAAATTGCGATATCTGCAATGTACCTGAAAACATCGACCATATAGTTTTTGAATGTAATAAGTGTGCTTTTACACAGTTCAAGTATTGAATTCAATTCTGCTCGAACATGGAAGAGAGGGGGTGAGAAGAAAAGGGACGAGTACACATGCGTCTGTACCGTCAAGTCGTTTCAACTTTCTTGCTTTGCTTTTGGCATTTTCGTTGCTTCCCATTTAAAGAACCAAAGACTTGAATTCAACAGAATTGAAACATGTAAAAGCAAATAAAAAACACAAAAGAGAATGAGCAAGAATTGCTTTCAAGTACTTGAATCATGTAAATCAGGTGTAAATACAACACTGCAAGAGAAAAATTCCCAACCTTATGTCAAACCATGATTCAATAATACAAGGTTCGATAAACTGACAGTTGTCCCTCTCGCACCGCTCCCTTAACAGTGGTACCGTGTTGCTTCTTTGCAAATTTACATCGAAACAGTGTAGCTTTGGTGTTAAATAAAAGTATAAGCTTTTGTGCAATATGTTTATTTGTATATGCATATGAAGCATATTTAACTGATGAAAACATAAGCATTGGATGTTTACATCAATCTCATAGTAGTCTTATTTTAATTTTGAGTCATTTTGCAGTCTTTATACGGCTAAATAGCATATAAATTACGTAATTCACGTAGATATATCAATATTACGTTCAACATTTCGTTTAAAATGCCAGATTTCCTGCAAATATATTAGAATTTACGGAAGGAATTTCACTACTAATTGGCTACTTTGCGTACTTTTCTACTACCATTTTCGAAAAAAGGGATCGCATTCTTGCCCTTTTTCTGCCCTTCGTAAATGCAACCTTTTGTAAGGGAGTGTCAAACCGCACCTGTCAATAATTATCTAACCTTGTATTATTGAATCATGATGTCAAACTGACTCGTTTGTCAACTTCATGAACGCAGGAAGCTACAATCAACCATGGTGGAATAATACAAGGTGTTGGATATTGACAGCGTTCTCGCTCTAATCCGCCATCTTGACTCCCGTAGCAAAATCGATGTTTCCCTCCTGAAAAAACTACATTTTACGCCTTAAAAAAAGTACTAAACTACCTCATTCCCTATTCTAAAACTGATTTAGCTTAAGAGCGAAATACACCACACAAGCGGTCTGGTGCAGCAAACTGCGCCAGCATCTGAGTGGGATTGATTAGTTAACTTGCTAAAGGAGGCTGCTTGGAGCAGAACCGGTATGATTGTGATAAAATGCTGTAAATATAATAATAAAAAAAACATTTCGGCTTTGGCACGCCCTGTATACACAAAATGCAGCGATTCGTCGCAGCGTTACATTTGCATCTACGCATAATGAGATGGGGCACCATGGCACACTTCATGGAAGGACAACAGCGCGAATCGGAGCCATGCAGTGTGCATGAGTGCAGTACTACCAACAGCTGTTCCTGCAAATCGTGAATATCGTGAAGCATCTGGAACGCAACTATTATTTCGTACCTTGGTCGTTTACGCAACATACCTGAAGAGCTGGAACAAAGATATAAATCACAGGGATTGATCCGGCCCAATAAATATGCAGGTTAATTGGTGATAATTGAAAACGCAATTTCTATAATTATGTATTTATGTTATACACATTTGTAAATATAGGGAAAACTTTTGCTTTTTGTCGCAGGCGAATCGAGAAAATCTACTTTCCTCAAAGAGATGCGTATAATACGCGGCATTATTTATGAACTCGAACTTATTCCAGAATACAGTGAGAAGTGATATATCAAAATGTATTACGAGGTAAGCTTTAAATCATTTTTTCCAATAAGATCTGTAAAAGAACTAATCAGGAATCTTTGTTTGAAGGAAAGCACGTATTGATTGATGCTCGTCAAAAACTGGGAATCCCATAGGGAAACACCGAACAAGAAACAATGCGAAATAGGCGAATTTAATTGAATGTAGTAAAGTGGAAATCGACAATTTCATACAGTGGGCTCCATATATTCGTAGACTATGGCAAGATCCTTTTGTAGTTTTCTACTTCAATATTGACATAACTCCAAAACCAAACGCTCGAAAAAACTGTTTTCAAGTTTTGAATTTTACCTTAATTTAGAAAGGCCCCTATCGTCGCTGAAATATAAAAAAGCCATAACTAACTATAATTTATATTGCATAAACGATGAAACGCATCATAATCAATCGAAAAGCGAGTTTTGCATATTGAGTTAGTTACGGCATTTTGTATTTTAACGACGATGTGAGATATGGCCCTTCTATGTTAAGGTAACGATATACTCCCATATCAAAAATGAATACTTATTTTGCTCTACTGAGCTAGTGGTAATCAGTGCAGGGGGAGATTCCGTAACCAGTTAGCGACAATTTGCGAATCGCTAACTGGTTATAAGATCTCCCACCAGATATGAAAGTACACAACATAGAAGAGCAGTTAGCATCCATTTCTCTATACTTAACTCGATTTTGTATTATATTGGACATTGAGATTATGACACTATTGAAGTAAATGAGCAATATGTAAACACAAATTTTTTTGTCTTTTTGTTAATTTAATTTGCGGCCCTGAAAAGGGCCTTTTGCACATTTCCATATACATATGCATGTAAACACAAAAATGATGGCCTAATTTAATTTGTACTTTTGAAAGCATAAATAATTGTCTCTTTGTAAATTAATTGGCGGCCCTGAAAAGGGCCTTTGTTTCATTCATGTTATTCTCCTGCAAATAAATAAATATGGATATTTTTTTATACAAGATGCCAGATTATTTGTTAAACTCATAGGCTTACGTTGCATCCATGCCTTATAATTTTAGGCGGCTTAAACATTGAGCTTACTTTGCGGGAACTGCGGACGTTGCTGCATGCTACAATCAAAGAACTTTTAATTTCTACGGATTTATACAACATTTCAGTTGACAACTTACCGTATGTTTTTAGTACGTACTTACAATTTATAATGGTACCATATGAATCTAAGCCAGAGTTTTTTTAATTTTTCTTTTTTTCTTGTGGGCATTTTCAATGAGTTCTTTATTTAATTTTCTTATTTTAAATAACATTCTTGCCCTGAAAAATAATTTTTTCACTTTAATGTCGCAATGAATTTTCGAAGCATGCTCAATGTGAGTTTTTACAAAATCATTTGTAATTAGCAAGCCATCTTCGTTCATTGCTTTAAACACTGTCTCTAGATTTCTCATATGGTCCATCATAGACGAACTTGGTATTGACAACCCACCCTCGCTTAGGTGACTCGCCCAGGAACATGAGTTGTCATTGCTACCAAACGACGTGCTTGGAATATCATCCTTTAACCTGTGGCAAATATACCCGGCTAAATGCTCCAGTCCGTCAAATTCCAATTCGTCGAAGTCCGCTCTTCCACCGGCCACAGTTCTTTATTAGAACTCAGGGTTTTTAGCAAAATACCTGTAAATATGGCGATACATTAGGGATGTAATCATTAATACTACAATATATTTATATAATAAATAGTAATAATAATTAATAGTAATAATAATTAATAGTAATAATAATTAATAGTTAAAAAATTATGTTAAAGTACTTGTAAGAGGCGGCTGGGTGACTTCTAAATCTGGCGTATCATCCTCTTCTACGTTAGCAGAGTCGGATAAGACGCCCTTGTTATGTCCCAGCAAGTAGAGCCTCAAACGGTATTTAAATTCCTGCTGGTCAGGGTGATCATGCAACCCGCCTTTCGAACGAATAATTCCGAAGAAGTTTTCCAGAACGTCCTGGTTGAGGCGATACGTTAACACATACTTGATGTTAAATCGAGCTTTAATATCCTCGAACATCAACTTTAACGCTAAATTCGTTTGTATGATTCCTTTAGGCAAAATGAAAAAAATTAATATTTATCTTGAGAAACACATATTAGTTTACCTTTTTGGAATGGCAGCAGACTGAATTTGCCAATCACCCTCATACTTTTTATTAGGTTGGTCATTTCGTCAAGGATCTTGTCTTGCTCCTCGAGCGCTAGACCATATGCAAGACGCCGCTTCCTGGAGTCGGCGTGGGGAACCCTGACGTTTAAAACATCAAACCAATCATTCGTCTATGGTGTATAATTTTAACATACGTTTTAATATTAGGGTTTAAATATGTATGTGCATATGTATATGCATATATGTATGTGCATATATTCACATATAATTCACATTTATATATGTATATAGGAATATCAATAATACATACTGTTTTAAACAGTTGGAAGCATTCGGCCCAGTTTTGCTTCTGCAGGTGACCCACACTTGCTGCCCTTGTGATGGCCTGCGCTACAGTGTGCGAAAATAATTTTGCAGCCGTCTTGACCTTTTGGCGGTGAGCTCCAGCCACGGTCAAGTTACTTGCTGAAATCTTGTGAGTTATTGTCAAGTCCGTGCTTGTAATTGACAATAACTCCAAAATTATTTCCTTTTTCACAGGTTTCCCATTAATTAGGAAACCTTGATCAAGGAAATGATTTCGCAAAAGTTTTAGCAAGTGCGGCACGTCAGCGAAAACGTAAACCTTTTGGTCATTGAAAATAAACCTATGGAAATGAGAAGTATTAATAGGGACTGAAATATGAATATACATCTAATTATCATTATTTACCACGGCTGGTCTTCGTTTACGCCGAGATCATTGAAAAGCGACCTATTGGTACCTCCTAAATCACATACGACAGCCACTGCATTGTAGCCACAATCTTGCGACTTCTGCAATATGCTTTGCAGCAAAACGGAAGTCATTTTGCAGTCAAAGTCATAAAAGACTGGCTGTTTCCACTTTGCCATGAGACCTGAAATATATAAGGGCTTTACAAATATTTTATATTATTTAGAAAATCTTTTCTGTAATATTTACCTCTTAACATCGCTACCTGCACATAGTTGACGGGTGCTAATGTTGAGTCCGACGAAACATCATAACAGTAAGATTGTCTTACTTTCATTTCGTCGAAACTCAACACGCATAGTTTCTGTGCCTCGTCCATATGGGTAGCGGCTGCCAACAAGCGGAAGACTGGGTTTATAAGTCCGCGTGAAATCTCCACTTTTTGTGCCCAAGTCTGCAGTGTGCGAACTCCAGGTAGTGGAAAACAGTGCTTATACAGCAGCCTGTATGTCTTTGGACTGGCAGCATACAATGTAATTGACTGTGCAATATCCTCCTCCGCCCAATTTCGTCGCTTCGACCCAGTCTTCAGTTTGTCTATCTGACCTTTGGTGAATATAGAAGCCAGTTTATCTTCTATATTTCCCATTTCGGCAGCCATTGCATCCAAACTCTTTTTCAACAGCTCTACTGCCCACGCGTGCTTCTTCAGCTGAAGGTCAGACTCCCGCTTTAATGTAGCGATCTCGGTACCCTGCTTAGCGGTTTGCTTTTTGAGGATTGCATTTTCGCGCTTCAATGTCGCTCTGCAAGAAGTAGAAAATATAAGTTATGATTTGATTTGCACATTATGATCTTGAAATTATTAACTTACACTTCCGCTTTTAACATTTCCACTTCTTGAAGATCGCCGTCATAGTAAACCCAGTTACGAATTGGTGATGTCGAAGCATCAAGAGTACCGTCCTTGGGTCGATATTCTGTATTGCTTTCACTTACAACCACTGTAACAAACCCCTTAGATTAATAATATAATTTTAAGGGCGTACTATTTTTACTACCTTCGCAACTACCTAGCTCAAGCACCTCCATATTGTGGTCATCATGCGGTTGAGACTCTGCTACAGGTATAGCACACACAGAAATGGATGGCCCCGCATCGCGCCTGAGTATCGGGCGTTTAGCCAATCCTAATCCTTTTATTAGATATCTACGTAATTCAAAGTAAATGCTACTTACCCGCTTTGTACTGCATAACATTTTGATAATCATCGTCGGTAAAGTGCTTCATGCATATGAAGCTGGTATCCAAATTGAATGGCTTTACTTGCCCGCAGAATTCCACCCACTTTCTCGCCACGGCATCGTTGCGAGGAAAGGAAAAAAAGCTGCATTTAGAGGCACTACCTTGACGGCTGTCGCAATTTAATACACGGCACTTCATTTTATCAGTTTTTACACACTACTCAACTGAAAAATCACTAAAAAAATTGCAAATTAACACGATTTTAACCGATTTTTCACTAATAATTCAAATTTCTCTATGCAACTTATTTGTAAACAAAAGTTTATTTACGAGTTACCACAACTGTCAAAATCGGCAAAACCAAAGTAGCGGTACCTCTGACGGCGCCACCTTTGTTCGCTGCACCGTGGTAACAAACAATAAGCTGGCGCAGAGACACGAGTTGGTCCGCTACAGCATGACAGAGGAGCACTTTTGTAAGTACTCCAATATACCACAAATAGACTACATGGTATTCTATCATTCTTGGCGTAGACCCCGCTCAAAAAATCGACTTTTTTCACTCTCTTGTTCTTACGTGATCTTGTGTCTTTCGTTCATGTTGTGTTGTGTATTTCGCTCTTTAGTGTGTGCTGACTATGGTTGCCGTATGACATTTTTCGTTTGTACCATAATTTACCTTTAAATATACCAAAATAGATTTAAATGCAGCATGCTGAAATGTTGTTTTGCTGAAGTTTTCGGTTTTGGTAGGTTGATTGTTGAAATGAAAATTTTATAATTTTAAAGCTACATCTGTAGCTATATCTATTACATTGTTTTTGGATCAATGATGGGTGTTTGGAGGAGATACTCTTGTTTTTGAATACGTCACCATGTGATATCACAAATAATTATGAAAAAAATAACTTATTCATATAATTAATTTGTATTTTAAAAAGATTTTTCTTATCGAAAACTATTCAATTGTATAAAATGCCAAATCGGGGGAAAATGTACCAAACAGAAAATAAATTGCCAAATTAATCACCAGTGGCAACTGTGCAAGTGATCAGCTGTTTCGAAGGTTGCAAGTTTTTGCAAATTTTGCGTTCTCGTACTTCTGTTGATATTTCGTCTCTTTGAGAGCGAATGCTGCTAAATTCTCAGAACTTTTGCTGCTGGAGAATTTTGTCCTCTCAATACGCGTACACACCTTTTTCCAGCAGAAACCAGCAGCTTCCCCTCAAAATGAAATGTCAGTTTGCTCTCAATTTCCCCTACTTTGCAAGTTTTTTGCGTACGCGAACGCAAAAACTTGTAAGTTTTGGTTAAACATGAACAATTAACAGCTACGCGAACGAACCTATTATAAGCTTTAAAAACTAAACAACTGATGACTGTTTAACGTGAATATTTTGTGCATTGTGGAAGAATACAAGTCATATATCTTAGGGTTGACAGCTAGTTGACAGAGTGTTCAATATGGCGATGACAGTGTGAACAATATGGCACCCAATATGGCAAGCAAAACCGAACGGCCCGAAACTGCAAAACTACGACCCGAATGAAATAATTCGGGAAAAAATAACGGGAAAAACCAGGGTTCCGAGGTGCTGTTTCGAGACCAGGGTTTTGTGCAGCTCCGAAAAAATATGAAACAGGGTTCTGTGTTTATTGGAATTACAGAAAAGTGTTGCTTTGCAGCATAATTTTTTAATTATAATTTTATTCCAAATAAAGAAAAATTTAATTTTATCGAGTTTCGAAGGAACAAGAAATATCTAAAAAATTATTTTAAACTATGGTTTTTAATAAATTGAGTAAATTTTTTTATTTATTTTGAGACAAAATGTAAATATACTTATTATTTCAGCATGCTACTGTGGCTGCTTCCGTCACTCGCGCGCACTGCCGTGCGCTGTGATAAATATTATCTGAGAGTTAAGGCCCGTCCACATAGAACTTTGGCGTTGGCGTTGGCGTTGGCGTTTATTAACAGCTGACTATGAATACGCACAATTATATGAACATGTCCACATATCAACGGCAACGCCAACGCCAAAGTTATCGCACGCAAAAAGATGGGCATCTTTCATCTTTTTGCGCGCGTTGTCAATCAGCTGATGGATATAAATTTAATGAAAATTTGAGAAGGACCCGGCGAACAAATTAAATTGACTGAATTTTCACTTAAAAACGTGAGTAAACATTTAATTTATGTAAAAACTTGTTTATTACACTTATAAACAAACAAACGATATAAATATGTATGTATTATTGTTTTATTTGCAGGTAAAATGGAAGATAAATTAATAGAAGCTGTCAGTGCGCACCCCTGCCTCTACGATAAAAGCTCCAACCTTTTCCGAAACAAATTTTTAAAGGAAAAGGCTTGGGAGAAGGTGGCACAGCTGGTGGGCGTATCTGGTACGTATGCATATATATATTAATAGTTGTATTTAAATTTTAAATCAAATTCCTCCGACAGAAAAGCATTGTCAAACGAGGTGGAAGTCTCTGAGGGACCGCTTCGTCCGGGAGACTGCTGCATTAAAAGGGCGGTCGGGGGCTGCTGCTGAGGAAATGCCAACATGGTCGCACATGGAGGCAATGAGTTTTTTAAAAGATCATGTTGCTCCTCGAAGGTAAGTTTATCAATGAAACATGCAGTGACGGTGTACTCAATTAAAAATAGTTAACTGAAATGATTGTGCCGTTTGCACTGGCAATCAAAAGTGAGTGCATGGTGTTTTTTGTATATAAGTATATAAGTATAAGTTTGTGTATAAGTGTATATATAAGTTCTGTATAAGGTATGAAAGTCTGACTTATGTGGTTTTGATTAAAACATGAACCATATTTTTATAAGGAAATAACCATTTTAACTTGAAAAACATTGCAAATATTAAAAAAAAACACCACGCTCTTTTGGTTGCCAGTTTAGTTTCTCGATGACATAAATATATAATATGTACTAATAACATTTTTCTTGTTTACTTGCAGAACGTTTTCGAGCCTGGATTTCTCCCAAACGGATGGGGATACAATTAACAGCAACACACAGGACTCAGAGGTGGAGAATTGCGAAGAAATTAGTTCTCCAAGAGCCTCTATTGACGCTAGCTCCATAAAAAAAAAAAACGGGTCCGAATGGAAGACAAGGCAAATGAGAGATTTGGGTCACTATGTGATGTAGTGAATAAATTCGTAGAAAGGCAATCTGAATCCGAAAGCTTTGATAAAAGCCGCAATTACGAGTTCTATAAGGTTCTGGATAGTTACTTATTAAAGCATTCAGAACAGATACAAGATACATTGAAAATGGAAATATTAAACTACGTATTCAATTACAATTGTGTTTAATTTTTTTTTTGTGAGCCGGTGCTTTAATAAATAGCTTTCTAGAACCTTAGAAAACTGAATTTTTTTAGCTATTATTAAAGCTTTCGGGTTGCAGTTAATTGTTACTATTGTGCTGTTTGCGAATCCGTAATTGATAACTTTCTGAAATTGTTTTTGTACCTTACACTTATTTGCACCTGTGTTCAAAAAAATACTTTGTGAAATTGTTTTTGTACCTGTGTAATCGTAACTTATTTACACCTGTGTTCACAAATATTGGAGTAGAATTCAAAATGAAATTGTGTGCAACCTAAGAATATTTATTTTTAATAATTTTCATTTAAATCATATTTTTATTTATAACCGAATACGTTTAAATCCAAGTTTCGAATTTACTATAAACTAGAATTTGAATGAAAATTATTAAAAATAAATATTCTTAGGTTGCACAAAATTTCATTTTGAATTCTACTACAATATTTGTGCACACAGGTGTACAACTTAGTGAAATAGTCTTTTTTAAATAAGGGATTCAATCCTCTTAATTTATGTTTTTAAATAGCGTATTGAATCCTCTTAATTTATGTTTTTAAATAGAGCACTGAATCCTCATAATTTATGTTTTTAAATAGAGCACTGAATCCTCATAATTTATATTTAGGTGTTTTTTGTTGTGCCTTGTAATTATAAAATAAAAAGTTAATGTTTATACATACACACGTATGTACAATATAATACTAATATTTTATTTAAAATGTATGGTGTTTACAGTGAGTATGATTAATTTAAAAACCAATTTCGGAATTAAAATAGTGGTACATATTAAAAATTTAAAAATTAATGTTTACTACAGCCCGCGACAAAAGATAGCACATCAATATTTTGACCAGTTTTTACTACTTTTCTTTTGTCTTTAACATTCATTTATTTTTTATTAAATTATAGTTCTTTATCCAGCAAAAGCCATATAAATCTAAATTTCAAAATTTGTAAAATTGTATATGTTATAAAACAGCATACTAAAAATGATTAGAAATTCTAATAAATATGATTGAAATTGGTATGAAAAGTTTGTGAAATTTGGATTTTTAAGATTTTTGTTAGCTAATGAGCTATAATTTTATAGAAAAATAATGAAGAAAGAAAAGATATATAGTCAAAACTGATCAAAATTTTGATGTGCTACCGTTTTGTCGCGGGCTGTATCTTGTTGTATCGTTTTTGTATGTGCTTAAAAAGCAAAACAAAAATGATGTGCTAATCATGGCTATCACAGAATCCATCGTAGTCCGATTTTTCGTGGAATCTACGAAAATGCTATCCTTGAATTCGATTAGCTACGAACGTAGCATATACTTTTAATTCACTCCTTCGTTTTAATTCGGATCCAGTGATCGCATTTTCGTAGATTTCACGAAAAATCAGACTACGATGGATTCTGGGATAGCAACCAATACTAATTAATAAAGAATGAATTTATGAAAAAATAGGTACATCTAAAAGTATAGTTTAAGAACAAATTGATGAAAGAGAATATTATTATTTAATTAATAGGGTGCGCGGTTATGTAGTCTTTTAACTGATCCCTCAAATTGAAAGCATTTCTGGCGGCATTGTTCGCCATTAATCGACCAGTTCGTCGAAGGGGCGTTGTAATTTCCTGTCGCCATAAACCACCGACAATATTGTCTCCTTGGTATTGGTCGACAAATTCTGGTGGGCAATAAGTGCCATCGTGCATTTTTAAAAAGTTATGTAATAGCACTGTTGCTTTGTCAATGCTCTCGGCACTCGTTGGATGCATTTGCAATGGGGACAGAAGAATTCTCCAGCGAGCTGTCATAATTCCAAACGCGTTTTCTATAACGCGCCGAGCTCTTGAAAGACGCTTATTGAAAAGTTCGCGGTCAGGCGACAAACGTATTCCTAAAAAGCGTATATGTATGTTTAGAAAAACGAATAAAATTTCAATAGGATATGGTCGCATAATATAGCTTTTTAAGGGAAATGCCTCATCTCCAACAAAAAAATGAGGAAATCTAAGGGTGGAGTGTGGCAGAATATCATCCTCGGGAAGGTCTAATTGGTTGTTGAAAAGTCTTCTCCCAAAGCTCGAATTGCACAATACACCACCATCACTTTGAGAGCCATATGCACCAATATCGATGCAGGTAAACGTGTAATTAGCATCGCAACATGCCAAAAGTACGATGGAGTATGTTCCCTTGTAGTTGTAAAATAAGGATCCCGAGCTAGGAGGGCACTTTAATATTATGTGCTTTCCGTCAATAGCACCTACACAATTGGGAAAGTTCCAAATCGAATTGAAATCGTTTGCAATACGTTTCCATTCATGTCGGTTTGGTATAGACAAGTATATGCCACCCAGTTCATCCCAAAGAATCTCACATGTTTTCAAAACGATTTTATTTGCCGTGGAGCGTCCCATTTTATATGATATGGCGAGCATGTGCTGACTACCTCCATGTGCTAAATAACTATAAATATACCAAGTTCATTTCTATTTTGTCAAAAGATTATAGGTTAATGTCTTTAATTTCCTTACTTCAAAGTTAAAAAGAGTCTTAATGCGGCAGGTATTGATGGCCTATTGGAATGCTTAGTAAGACGCTCTCCTACAAGTCCGAGGAGATGGTCAAACATCGTTCTGCTCATTCTAACCGTTTTTTTGAACTGCTCAGTGTCATTATTATACATTTCTTCAAAACTTGATGCAAATAGTCCATTGATATCCCGACTTAAGTAAAGTGGTCTCACCCAAGACTCCCGGCGGGAATTTATTTTTCGCAAACATTCGCGAGTCTCGTACATCATTAGTGCAATTAAAATGACTTCAACCGCTTCTTTAGACAACATTTTAATTGCGATAGCTTTAAAAAACAAACACACTTTAAATTATATTTTCACTGCAAAATTTTCGCTTTGGTGATGACAATGAAAACAATAGATGTCAAAGCGTTCATTGTAGCAAGCATACTTTTAACGTGCGTTCTGTCAAACCAACGCCAACGCCAAAGCCAACGCGAAAGTTCTATGTGGACCGGCCTTTATGATGGTATTCAATAATCCAGTGTCATCTCAAGTCACTAAATTTGAGACAATTCGGGTTTTCAGAAAGAAAAACAGAAGGAAATTGATTATTGTATTTCATTCCTACACGTACTTGAACAAAATGCCAGATCAGTGCTCATAATTGTGAACAAATATTATTTTCTTGTTGTTTATTTCCTTTGTTCTGTTATTGAATAAATAATAGGGGTCTTCATCAAAAGTGATATACTCTTGATAAACTGGATAAAGTGATAAATTTATCATTTTGATAACTGAACTGTAAAACTTTGTATGGAAATCTATTTAACCAAAGTTTATCACTTTATCAAACGACTTTGGTGGATAAATGTATAAATTTAAGTAAAATTCAACCCCTATAGGTTGCCAGGTAGTCGCTTTTGCTACGAGCAAATGAACACAATGGACGAGGTAAGAATGAAACGTAACTAGCCATATAAGTTAAATAATCAACAGTCTTATGCGAATATTTACCATGGTGTACCTACTACCAAGGTACCTCTAATAATTAGGTGTTTCATTGCATATTCTAATTGCTTGTTTGCTATTTTTTATAACAGGAAAAGGTCAACCAGGCTTGTATCGTTGGATGCGGATTAGGGGTGCCTCTGTATCCCTTCCCACCAGAGGGAGAGATCGACCGGTGAGTGTACAATATTAGCTTTGAAATAAGTGTAGGTATGTGTGTTTCTTTTTTGTTAATACAATTTTGTTGTGCAATTATGCTTGGGGGAACTTCGAAATAGTGCACCCGGAATCAGAAATGGCTGACGTCGAAAGCGTATCAATACAATGTTTGGAAACTGTTTTACTGCGCTATTCAAAATGCAGAGTTGCGACACATCGCAACCTTATGTATTGCATATTTTAAATATTCAATTTAGCAATGGACAATTTTTCTGAATTTTCCATTTTTAAAACACAAATGGTAACCAAAAACAAACGACTTTCAACATCAACTTTGATTCTGATGCGCTGATTGCTCTAGCGATGCGTTTCGATACCTTTTTGAATGCGTTTTGAAAAAGTATACATTGTTAACATTTTGTAGTTCGGTGTTATGGGACATTATACTTTGTACGTATGCAAAGCAATAGACGTTTTGGAAGTCAGCCAATCTGTTAGTTACTCTTTTACTTAAGTTATAATATTAGTGTTGAGAGCCGTCCTTCTAAATTGCATTAAGATTTTGATATCGAAGTCGACCCTGGAGGAATCTTCAATGGTGCATCCTTAACTTACCTACCAGTTAGTGTATAATTTTCCCGTCCATTTTGACCTGGTTCCGGTAAAGTGCCCTACTACCGTGTATAAATTGGCCGACCTTCTAATAAATCAAGCAATCTTATTGTATCGTCATCGCCGCCAGTCACCAAGAAATTTCCACTTGGGTGAAATGCAACATCATTCTCCGGCGACGAATGCACTGTATTAGCTCGCTTCAGCTTTGTCAAATATCTTAACGCGGTTACAACTTAATGCTAAAGCCACCAGATTGCCGTCTGGATGCCATGCCAGCTGTCGTCCCATACCTCTTCTCCCGGTAAACGTTCGCATACGTTCGCCTGAAAATGTATCGCAAATTCTTAACTTGTCGCCGCACGATGAAATGAACTTACCATTAGGGCTGAATTTTGCTGCGCGCACCCATTTTTGTGTATTTTGAATTAGTATTTTGATGGCTGTTCGCCATTTTTCTAGTCTGCAAACGAATAAGCTGACGAAGATGCAAACAAATTCGACCACATTGCTGCATTCTACCGTACTTTTTAAAATTTTTAAAATCTTAAAACATATGTGAAAAACTTTTATAATCTGAATATTTCTAATGCCGAAATCAAAACGAAATTTACTAAATAGCATTTTTAAAAAACAATCATCTAATATTTTTCAAGTTTTTGGGCATATATTTTACCATTTGAACCACAAATACTACTAACCGCCCTATTCCCACAACACTGACAAAATTCATCATATGATTATTGTCACAATTACTGCGCCTAAAACATAATATAAACATTGTTTCGCCGTTGTCACTTACTCAGTAGGTCATAACAATAAAACTGACAATTGTCATACGACAGCTTAAAATAAATTTGCGGCATAGTATTAGGCGCAGTAGTACGGCCACTGAGTTTTGTCAGCCGTGTGGGAATAGGGCGGTAAATTGTATAAGACTATTTAATGCAACTCAGGTCAAAAAAGAGCAGTTTAGACCAAAATAAGCAGCTCTAAAAAACAGATGATCGCAGCTGTGGCCCAGGATCATGATTCAATTGGGGTGTTCACAGTTCGTTCCAAATAGTGTCTGAAAATGTAGACGTCTACATTTTAAGACGTTTTCTAACCGTAAAACCTGTGGTGTTGTTGTTTCCCATACAAAATTGGAAAACGACGCCGTCTACATTTTGTCACACTCAAAGGTATGTTTTTTACGCGTCTACATTTTGCAACCTCGCAGCAGGGTTGCATTATGGCAATACTAATCACATTTTTTTTATTTATTGGGCACGTTTTTTGTATTTGCATTTAATTTGAGCGCAATTTCTGATGAAACGAAACAAATCAAGGAAAAGAAATAACAAATATTAGGAATTGGTAATTAAGTTAAATAATTACAATTTTTCAGAAACAAAATCGAGAGGCGATATATAAAAAATGCACGCAAAGAGGAAACGTCTGGCAACACCAGCAAAGTTTTGAGACGATTTTCCGACGACTGCTAGAAAGGGGTGCTCACAGTTTGATGCTAAAGATGTCTCAAAATGTAGACGTCTACATTTTCAGACACAATTTGGAACGAACTGTGAACACCCCAAATAATACAAGGTTAGATAATTATTGACAGCTGCGGTTTGACACTCCCTTACAAAAGGATGCATTTACGAAGGCCAGAGAAAGGGCAAGAATGCAATCCCTTGTTTCGAAAATGGTAGTAGAAAAGTACGCAAAGTAGGCAATTAGTAGTGAAGTTCCTTTCGTAAATTCTACTGTATTTGCAGGAAATCTGGCATTTTAAACGAAATGTTGAACGTAATATTGATATATCTACGTGAATTACGTAATTTATATGCTAAACTGCAAAATGACTCAAAATTAAAATAAGACTACTATGAGATTGATGTAAACGTACATTGCTTATGTTTTCATCAGTTAAATATGCTTCATATGCATATACAAATAAACATATTGCACAAGAGCTTATACTTTTATTTCACACCAAAGCTACACTGTTTCCATGTAAATTTGCAAAGAAGCAACACGGTGCCACTGCTAAGGGAGCGGTGCGAGAGAGACAACTGTCAGTTTATCGAACCTTGTATTAGGTTCGTTCGCGTAGCTGTTAATTGTTCATGTTTAACCAAAACTTGCAGGTTTTTGCGTTCGCGTACGCAAAAAACTTGCAAAGTAGGGGAAATTGAGAGAGCAAAGTGACATTTCATTTTGAGGGGAAGCTGTTAGTTTCTGTTGGAAAAATTTTTGCCAACAGGGAAACAGCTGATCAAAAACAGCTGGTTGGCATTTACGCAAATCACAAAATTTAATTTGATGGTTTGGAAGATAAAAATTACAAAATGCGACAAATTAAACTTCTAAGAAATAAGTAGTTATTTGTTTAATCAATAAACTGTGTCAGTATAAGACTTTGCGATGACTTTTCGTACGTTTTAAATTTTACACTTTTGTATGTAAACAAAAATTATATCAGCTGTTCGTCTAACTTGCAAGTTTCTGCAAATTTTCTGTTCGCGTACTATTTTGGATACTTCTCTCTTGTGAGCGAACACATGACATTTCGCCGGAATTTGGCAGTTGGTTGGTTTCTGTTGGAGATTTTAAACGAACGCACCTATTATTGAATCATGGCCCAGGATGACGTCTATTGCTAAGATATCTCACTTGCAAGGCACAAAATACAGGTAGAAGCCAAAATGACATTGCTCTCATGAGAACCAAACCTTTAAACTTCAACTTGGTTTTCTTTTATTTCCTATATTTCGTTACGCTTTAAATGTCATGTCGTTTGATTTTGGATTTTTTTTTTTTGAATATTCGTTAAAAAACAAATTTTAATTAACATTTGAATTTTTGTAGTGTTGTGCGGCTTATACTTAGTGTATGTGTTAAAAATGCAGCACCTGAAGCCTTGTTTTTATGTGGTGTTAAATATAAATCAGAGGCCACTAATTTTTTAACGTGCCTCAATGTCCTTAGCGTAAGAAGCGTTGGGAAAGCAGCTGTGGGGTAGAGCTGCAGCGAAATGCCTTGCTGTGCGTTAAACATTTTAAAGCAGCAGATTTCATAAATGCTCCGGGAGGTACAGGAAAGGTACGTTTGATGCCAAGTGCTGTTCCTATGACCCTTATGCCGGAAAGTCCCTCCAACAACACTGCAACTCATAAATCAAAGACAGAAAACAACAAACAAATTAACAAATTTTAACTAAAGAAAATAAATAAATAAAATTAAACTTCAAATTTACTTAAAAACGTCAACCAGTGAAATGGAATTTTTTATTTTTCCTTACACACGCTCATTTTTATTTTTACTCTCCCGAAAACTTTGACTTTTGTAGGTTTGATGTCAATTTGGCTTCTACCTGTTTTTATTGTACCATGGGTAGAAACCAAAATGACGTTGCTCTCATGAGAACCAAACCTTTAAACTTCAACTTGATTTTATTTTATTTCCTATATTTCGTTACGCTTAAAATGTCATGTCGTTTGTTTTTTTTGAATGTTCGTTAAAAACACATTTTAATTAACATTTGCATTATTGTAGTGTTGTGCGGTTTATACTTAGTGTATGTGTTAAAAATGCAGCACCTGAAGCGTTGTTTTTTATGTGGTGTTAAATATAATGCAGACATCACTAATTTTTTTAACGTGCCTCAATGCCCTTGGCGTAAGGAGCGTTGGGAAAGCAGCTGTGGGGTAGAGCTGCAGCGAAATGCCTTGCTGTGCGTTAAGCATTTTAAAGCAGCAGATTTCATAAATGCACCAGGAGGTACAGGAAAGGCACGTTTGATGCCAAGTGCTCTTCCTATGACCCTTATGCCGGAAAGTCCTTCCAACAACACTGCAACTCATAAATCAAGTTGTGAAAGCTTAATAAATGATCGCGCTTATTTGTGTTCCGTTGTTTTATTGATTGCCCAACGTTATGCCTAGTACATATATCGCTTTATACATACATTTGTATATTATACAAAATTAAAACAGGTACTATAAATATAAACTTTCAATGTATAAAAAAATAGAAAAGAACATACAAATTAACAAATTTTAACTAAAGAAAATAAATAAATAAATACAAAACTTCAAATTTACTTAAAAACGTCAACCAGCGAAATGTAATTTTTTTATTTTTCTTTACACACGCTCATTTTTATTTTTACTCTCCCGAAAACTTTGACTTTTGTAGGTTTGATGTCAATTTGGCTTCTACCTGTTTTTATTGTACCATGTATTCAGATTATAAAAGTTTTTCATATATGTTTTAAGATTTTAAAGCTTTTAAAAAGTACGGTAGAATGCAACAATATGCTTGAATTTGTTTGCTTCTTCGTCAGCTTATTCGTTTGCAGACTAGAAAAATGGCGAACAGCCATCAAAATACTGATTCAAATTACACACAAATGGGTGCGCGCAGCAAAATTCAACCCCAATGGTAAGTTCATTTCATCGTGCGGCGACAAGTTAAGAATTTGCGATACATTTTCAGGCGAATGTATGCGAACGTTCACCGGGGGAAGAGGTATGGGACGACAGCTGGCATGGCATCCAGACGGCAATCTGATGGCTTTAGCATTAAGTTGGAACCGCGTTAAGATATTTGACAAAGCT